TCCATGGTCCGGGTGTTCTCATGATCTGCCACGCGGATGTTGGCATTTTTCCTTAACCTTCGCCACTCCAAATAGTTCGAAGTAATCATGTCCTTGGCAGCCACGACATCTATTCGGAATATTTTCTTCCATGACTCAGCTATTTCCTTGACCATTTTCTTGTAGTTGTCCCCATGGTATGCAAATTCTGATCCAGATATTTCATATGTTATTGGGACAAACTGACGTGCCCCATACTGTCGAAATGCCAAAAGTAGAGAATATCTGACTCCTCCTCATAGTCCAAGTAATGTCATAGTGTCTGAATCCCCACTTCAGAAGAGAATGTCACTGTTGGTCAACCAAAGAGCTCTCCAGGCAATATCCCGGTCTTGAAGATATGTGAATACTTTCATCCACTTTTCTTTTGAGGAACCTTCATGTCATTTCAGAGTAACGAATTCCCCCAAAGGCGAATAAGTGGTGCTGAATCGGCGGTAAGCAATCTCGTTAGTCTTCCAAAAATGACTGTTGATCCAAACATGGAGAAGCTGAGCACACCTTATAAATCTTCCTCCGCCAGTCTTTCTGTAGTGGTTGAGAGAGCGGAAGATCTCAACTAAAATTACCGGTGTTGGATTTACTCGCCTCGGGAGTTGTTCAAACAGTTTCATCACAACTACATCAATGTATCCCAAAGTCTTTGGGAATATAACCAAACCATAAAGACCTATTATAAAAAGATCTATTGCCTTCCATTCATCGGGATGGTTCTTCATTAGTTGCTTGGTATGGATCCAAGCAATTCATTCCCCACTGTCTTTGTGTCGAGCCCAGTCAGTTACTCATTTTTCATCTACCCCACAATATTTTCCAGTTCGTTCTTGAAAGACTGACTTTTATGTGCTTAATATAGACCCACTCTATTTTGATTCCCTCGCAATACATCAATGTAGTATACTCTTCAATTATGGGCACCATGTCCTCCTGGTTAAAGGTGAAACAACTGTACCCCGGGTTCCAGAATTGTACCAAGGCTCTAATTAGGGGCTCATCTGTCATGACATAGAGAATGAGAGCGATATCACCATACCGCTGGCTAAACTTCTGCTTCTGGTCACTCTTTCAGCTATCTCAAATGCTCCGTATCTCTTGAACATCATTCTGCTTTAGGCTAACAGAAGCATAGCTAACCAGTTCTGACACATAGATTCTTTGCAGACTGTCTCCCTTCTCTTTCTGAGTCTTTTCAGACCATAGTCGTACCTCAACATTTTTTATCTCTTGCATTACAACCCCCTTTGTCTATTAATGCAGATTATTTGTGTGTAACTAACACCTTTTCATGGATCAATGACCTCTTTTTATGATGCAAATGCTTAAGGGTGCGTTTGGTTCACGGAATATAAGATTACCAGTGGGAATGTAAGATTACCAAGGAATAGCATTACTGGGAATGTTGTATTTTGTGTTTGGTTGGCTTAGCAGGAATGTAAGATTACCGTGTTTGGTTAAAGGAATAAAAGATTATTGGAATGTATATTTGACCAAATTATCCTAATTATATATTTGTGTAATATTACAAGTTGGAAAATATTTATATATTTTCTTTAAAAAAATTAAATTCATAATATTTATATATTTTTTACAAAATTAAAAATAAAAAAAAGTTTAATGAAAGGGTAAAATTTTATTTAAACCCTTGAACTTTATATAAAATTTTAATTATAGATTTTTTTTTGTAAATCTAAAATAATTTAAGGATAAATTTGTAATTTAACATTCGTAAAATTTTTATTATTCGATGACAGAATAAATATCTTTTTGAAAAAAAAATAAAAATTTAAGGGCATTTTAGTCCAAAACGCCGGTAATCCAACAATACCTAAGGAAAGAGAGGTAATGACATTCCCGGTAATATACCCCAAAAAATCCACTATTGGTAATCTTACATTACCGGGAATAGGATTCTCGGGCTAACCAAACAGGGGAATGTGGATTCCATTCCCATGGGAATCCCACATTCCCCAATCCAAACACCCCCTAAAAGACAAATATGAAAGAAAAACGTTAGTAAGATAAAAATATAAATGATGAAAGAAAAAAAAAAAGTGACAACTGCATGAGTAAAAAACAACTTAGGTTTTGAAATGGGGTTTTTGGGTAGGCTATAATTCCTTGTAGTCTCCTGATTTAGGTTCTAAAGAAGGTAACCGAGTTCTCATTGCCGGTGCCCCCTTGGGCTTGCTAGACCCTTAGTCCTAAGCCCATTACAAGCTTGTGTGGACTAAGTTAAACTCGAGAGGATACACTCCCTTATGTCTATACGGTGAATAAATTCACACGAAGGCATAAGGTATATGAATCCCGAAGGCTACTTGTTAGGCCAATGCGGAGAATAAATTCTCACGAAGGCGTCACTTTCATCTCACTTAAAAGGGTTTGGAGCTCAGGTATAGAGCATTAGATAGAAAAACAAGTTGGATAAGCTGAAACCATTGAAAGAAATCGTCAGTACAACTATTTATTTGAAAAGATAATCAAAAGTAAATTATAAGGATTGAAAAAGTTACCTTAAAATTTAAACTTACCATTTTCACTTAAGAAGAGAACTAGAAATTAACCTTATCCTGACTCACTTATCTGTCCCCAGCAGAGTCGCCAAACTGTCGCAGCCGTCTTTTGAGTGGGCCCGGAATTGGGCTTCGACTTAAATAAATGGGTTAGAGTCGCCACCGATCATTTAAAAAAAATTAGGTTGATTGGACACCATCTTACCTGATATGCGTTTTACCAAAAATATGTCAGATTCGGGAGTCAGTTACAGTTAAGGAAGGATTAGCACCCTTGAACTGCCCTTTCGGTACTAATTAATTTCCAGTTGTCTTAATTGAGAAAATTGTAAGTTAAATTGAAAAGAAAAGTTTGATCCAAATTACTTACATTCGATTGATTTTAAAAAACATGCCCTTACAAAGTCAAAAACGTTAGATTGGTAAAACAAAATACTGAATCCAAAAGAAAAAAAATAAAGGTTAAACCATAATATTTTAAGTAAAAAATAAATAAATAAATAAATATACGTGCTGAAGAATTAACATAAATAAAAGAAATTGCGTATTTAAAATACACAAAAAATAAAAGGTTTATTGAACTAAAGTAAAAAGGGAAAATATATAGAAATACTAATTGCAAGATTAAATATAAATAATAACTAAAATAAAGAAAAGAAGTAAAATAAAAATATAAACAAATCCCTAAAAAATATCTAAATATAAAAAAACTAATCTCCAAAAAAGAAAAATAATAAAATAAATAACATAAAATAAAATAAAATAAAATAAAGTAAAATAAAAAACAAAATAAATAAAACAAAATAAACAAAACAAAACAAAATAGAAATAAAATAAAAAAGGTTAAATCAAAATAAAAAAAACAGAAACAAAAAAACAAAAAATAGAAGATAAAATAAAAAATAAAAAATAAAACTACAATATATATATAATAGAAAAAAATAAATAAAAAAGATAAAAAATATATAAAGAAAAAATTATGTAAAGAAAAATAATAATATAAAATACAGAAATAAAAAGAGAAATATATATATATATATATATATATATATATATATGTGTTAGAAAAAATAAAAAAAAGAAATAAACAAAAGGAAGAAAAAAGTAATAAAAATATATAGATAAATTTTAAAGTTAAATTAAATAAATAAAAAAAGAAATATATATATATATATATATAATAAAGGACTAAATTGAAAGATAAATAAAAATAAATGGTGCAATTTGAAAAGAAATTGAGGTTAAAATTGAATTTTAGGGGAAAAATGAATGTTTTAAAAAATGGAGAGACCAAAACTACAATTGTCCCTTTATATAAGCAAAACGTACGGATATTTTAGGTATAAATACCAAAAATTCACAAACACCATTCATTTTTTTCCCTTTAGAAATGGATCAAACACCCCCCAACTTTTCTCTAAAATGTTCTTGGGTGTTTTTAATCTGATGAAGAACACCGCCGTCTGGGTTCATAGGACCCAGATTTCGGCCATCGTTGATGACAAAAATTTTTTTTTTTACCTTTCGAGAGTTTTCCTTCCCCACTTTTCAAAAATCGAAATGGTTTTTTCAAAATCGTCTCGGGGAAGGCTAGATCTGAGAAAGAAGTTCTCGAAATCCTCCCCCGTTAATCAGTCGACCACTCTTTTTTGGGTTTTTCAAAATAAAAAACAAAGAGAAAATAAACGAGACATCCACATGCAATCACAAAACTGAAAAAAGGTGATACCTTTACATTTTATTTCTTTTTGAAATCCTACAAAAGTGCTTCGATTGCTCTTGTGATTTTCTTGTGTATTTTTTCTGAGTATTTCTTGTATCATTTTTGAGTTGTTTACATGCGTATTTATAGTCTTATTTGCATTCGATTTAGACTCCTATTAGGACTCAAACACTAATCTATTTTTTGGCTTGGTTGTGCGCTGGAAAAATCGGAGTTGACGACCTTATTGTAGTTGGTGTGAGGACTCTCCAAGAGTCCTCGATTTGGTTGGTTGCTCCTTGCGTGTCTGGCGGTGCTGAGGAAACAAGGGTTAGGGTTTGAAAACCCTAACTACTTCGGGTGAAAGGTCGGTTCGGATCGGACTTCAGTGGACCTAGATCTCGGGTCGGTTCGGGTTGGGTTCCAATCCGGGTCTACAAGGGTTCTAGGCTACTGATTCTACTTTGTAACCGGACTTTCTTGGGTTATTGTTGTATCTGGGCTTTGAGCATTGGGCCTGTCACAAGGGAAAAAATTGTTTGTAAAAAAAATTAGTAAATAATAATAATATATGTATAATAACCAAAATATGTACTACATAATATATTTATATATAAATTGATTTACAAATACAAACGGAAATGTTTGTCTACACGTTGGATTTCAACGGAGCACGATTAGAGCTAGTACTTACCGAATACCCCTTTTATTTTATTTGTTTTTTTAGTTCAAATACCAGTCGAGCGAATCGCAGCTTAATATCTATTATAAATGGGTCAGAAAAGTTATTACAGAAAGAAGACTAACGCGGCTTGCAACGACAGAACGGTAAGCAGTAGTATCTGGATTTGTCTTTGCTTCGATACAATCAAATTTGGTTTATAGTTTTCTTTGATTACTGGGCTCTCTGGAGACTATCTTCTTCTTCTTTTCTTGTAAATTAAGTTGTGATATGCATGGTTTGCCTTTGTGTTTTCTTATTTTTAACCTCTTTTAACTCGAATGCTATCTTTAGTAAGCAGATTGGATTTTTTCCCTATTGATTTAGGTCTTGCTTTTTCTTCTGATTCTCAGATTGGAATTTATGGCTAGTTCCAACAATTCGGGATCACAGAAAAGAAAAAGAGGGCCTCGTAGGATGGAAGTGGTCCAAGTGAATGTAACTACCCTGTTTTCCTCCTTTTTTCAAGATTTCTTTTGCCCACATATGCCAATCCACTATTTAATTCCTTACCTTTTTTTTCTTCAAATTCTCAGAGTGAAGAGACGGATAATTCCAACGAATCACCACAACCAAATAAAGATGTAGCTTCTCGTGGAAGGGCAAAGGTAACTAGTATCTTTCTTTTTAATCAACTACTTTTTTTTGAAAGTTATAATCATTTCTTTTCTTTTGTTGCTCTCCGTATGCAGAAATGCTTCATTGCAGTGGAAGATTTTATATGTGATTTCACGGGTGATGACAGTATCAGGACGACGGTAATGTTTTCCTCTCTGCTCTACAATTTTTTTTAAAAAAAAATATTTTTCACTAAATTTTCACTAAATTGACTGTCTAGCTCAGTTGATAGAGTTGATAGAGCACAAGACTCTTAACCTTGTGGTCGTGGGATCGAGTCCCATTGAGAGCAATTCAATTCATAACGGATGTCTTCATGGAAGTTGTTCTCAACCTAGCGTTGGGCAACCTGCTACCTTACATTTACCGGGAATAGGGTCAGCTAAATTTTTATTTTTTTCATTTGAATTTATTATGCAGATTTTATGGAAGGAAAAACAAAAGCTAGTAAAAAAAGCGAACAAGTTGCTGAATGACCCATTGTTTATGCTGCAAAAGTTGAGCAATTTGATAGAGCCAAGTATTATGGAAAATACAAGGCTCAGAAGTGCATTCGACGATGTTAAATCCACTCTGCAGCAGTCAAAGAATCCAATACCAACTCAAGACTCTACTGATAATATTGCATTGCCAGAGTTTGAATTGGCTTTGAAGCAGTCAAAGAATCCAGTACCAACTCAAGACTCTACTGATAATATTGCACTGCAAGAGTTTGAATTGGCTCTGAAGCAGTCAAAGAATCCAGTTCCAACTCAATACTCTACTGATATCATTAATGAGTTAGGTACGATCTTCATGTATTTACAGTGCATCAAATATGAATATGTTTTTACATAATCCCTCAGTATTTCATTGTATGCTGATGTTGATACTTAATCATCTAAACTACAACTTTCCATTGCTTTTTTGATTTCTTTATATTTTTAGAGAGAGACGTACAAGTGACAAAGGAGGAGCTGCAATTCATTAAAGAGCAACTTAAGGAGGCAATACTGATAGCCTTGTCTCCCTGTTTCCCTTTCTTGCATTTGGAAAATTGTTATTAACCTTTTTATTTTGCCTATCCAGGAAAATGCCATTGGTGACCTTGAGAAGCAATTACTGATGACTGCTAAGACTTTTCTCATTGTCTCACGAATGATGAATAAAGTGCAAGAATCTTGCTTTAGAACGGTGTCTAATGCGTTGGGAACCACACAAAAATCTATTCAAGAACAATTTATACAAAGAGAGGATGAACAGTTAGTACTCCACTTTCGTCCAGCCCCTGACTCTATCCAAACAAACCAAAGTGGGAAAACTGATAATGATGTTCACAACTCAAAGGTACAGAATGTTGATATGCTTTTTATTTAGGGTCCATCTAGATATTTTTAAATTAACTTACGAGTTTCATCAATCAATAAATGGTTCATTCTAAATTTACGAAAGGCTACAATAATCGAGAGATTAGTTGAGCTTACATCATTGTTTGTATTGATATTTAGTAGCGGAATTCTTCTCTGGGCAAGGGCAACTGGTGTAGGTTAAGTCCAAACTGCATAAATATTTCTTGGATTCTTCCTTCTTTTTTGCTCTTTACTTGTGACTGCCCTAGTTGCAACTTACTTTACAACGAGAAGTCACAACATCATAAAACCAGGTTGCACTTTTACACAAGTCTGTAAATTAGTTTAATAATCATATCATCAGGTTAAATAAAAAGTAATAGACTTGTTAACTCTGTCATAACCTTTTTTTCTTAGTAATTTGTTTAAACAATCTTAAAGAGGTGAACATTCAGTAATTAGTCTGCACCCTGGTAGGTTCACTTTTTTCCTTTGCTACTCATCTTTACTCTATATATTTTGAATGTAGATGATCAATCAAGAGGAACTAGTGGTGGAAGTGGATTTAACCCTAGCATTTGTGGGAGAGAGACCAGAGAAGTTGATACTGAAAATGCAAAGAGACCAAAAGATGGTAAGAACTGAATTTTGAGCTCTGCATAGCAAGTTATGACCCTTATATCACCTGAGAATGCAATCATGTATTGTCCACTAATTTCTATTCTATCATTTTGATGAATGGTGCAAAAAATGAGTTTAATCTTCAGTTATAATATTAAATGCCCTTCAACCCGTAAAAACTTTAACTCTTCTTACTTATTTAAACTGACATATATGTAGAACTTGTTGTTCTTTTAATTTCTGTGATGAGCAAACCATAAAGTGATCGGGTCATGAATATTCATTTCTGTTTACGGAATTTTCTTTATTCATTCCCTTGTTTTGCATGTGAAGATTGAACTATACGTCATAATGTTATGATGTGCCAGTTTGAGATTTAATTCTACTGATTTACTGTCCTCGCCTTAAACTATACCAGGATGCTTTGTGGGGAATCGATATTGGACATTTGAACAACAATATTTTATCGACTGATGGGCTAGGTAATGGCTGCTAGTTACTAATTAATTGCGCTTGTACAATTAGATACCAAAGTGTGTTTTTTTTCTTTTGAGATTTTTGGGTTTCAGTTCTTGTTCATCATGTTTAATGATATGTAGATGGAATCCTCAACTATCTTTTATGTCATAGATACTGTTCATTTTATAGTAAAAATCTGATCTCTTAGGTCATATGTTCTTGAATTATCTTACCTCATTTTTTTTTTATTGGTATGAGATGATTACGAGGTAGTATTTGTTCATAACCTTTCTTAGCTATTAACACACACCCTACGGACACAGTTGTTCGAGCCCAAGACCTCAAGAGAGAATAACACTCCCTTTAACCACCGAGTCCGCTCAATGGATTCTATCTTACATCAATTTTAATTGTCTTGTATAATACTTGTGTTCTTTTACTTGTCAATCGTACATATTTTATGCTTATGTCTTCTGTATTAATAACTTTGTTTTATATATCGGATTGAAGGTTTCAGAGATGCCAAAACACATCAAGAGATAGGAGAGAGCTGCACAGTCAGTTCTAAGGTCCGAAGCTACAACGTTGATAAACACAATGTTAATCTGCTCAAGCAGATATTTGAAGAGAATCCCAACATTGACAAAGAGTTTAAAATTAAGAATCCAGATTTCCAGAGTTTCTTCATGAACAAAATTGCTCTATCCTATGATAGTATAAAACGTAATCCATGGATTTTTGGGCCAAGAGACGTCAAAACAATGTTTCAAATGGTGGAAGACATGCAGTTTACTGAGTTGGAACATACATGGCTAAAGAATGAGGTGATACTGATCCGTCAAGTGTTGATGGAGAGATATGAGGCAGGGCTAACCGAGTTGAAAGAATGTGACTGAGGCCACCGCTTGAGTCATTGTTCTTTTCGCAAGGAAATCCATAATGTTTTTTTTCTTCTGTTCTTTCTATTTTGTTAAGGTTTGTATTTGAGTAACGAATCCAATACTTTTGGAATTTGAAGTTATCTTTCGTGTTACCATAATTATTATGATCATGGGTTTATAGCTTATTGATAGACCACATGATTCTTGAAATTCATAATCAAAGCATGATTGCATGGTGATTATTTCTGCTTCTTGCTTATCGTCTACTCTGCATTGTATACATGGAAACTATTTATTGGTTCAATCATTTTTCTGTTTTTTCCCCTTCAACCTATTCTATCCTCTCCTCCATTTAGAGCAGGTTTATTCATGAAACCCGATTAAATTGATTTTTCTATCCTATGCTTATCTATAGAAAGCCAAAAATTATATATTAGGCAAACTTATGTGCATATATATTTTTACTTTATTCATTTTCTCATGTATATATTATAATAATTAGTATACAAGTATGTTTATTTGCGCGTATAAATGCATTTTTATTTCTGAAAATATTTTTAATAAATAATACGAATTTGAATAGTGTATTTTAAGTTTTGACTTGGCTAGGTAGCATTTTTGGTTTGAATAGTAAATCATAATCTGTTAAAATCAAAATCGATCAAATAGAATTCAAAAAATCGAATTGGGTTGATTTGAATGGTTTAATTGGTTTCCCCTGAATTTTGTTCACCCAAGAAAATTTACAATTAATTCAAGCAGTAATACGTGGTTCGACTTTGGTTCAATTCTGTTACATTTTATTTTGATTTTAGTTTAGTTATTATTTTAACGTACTCGATTTTCACAAGTCCATAGAATATATAATTATTTGAATAGAATACTGTTATATCATTTCAGAAACGATCAACTCTGTTACGGTTAAGATTATCAGATAGACCTCTCTGTTTATTGGAGTATTTGGGGGAACCTATATCCTCTAAGCTCAAGAGTATCATAGATGTCGACACCATTTTTACCGACTCGGGAGTTTTCTTTTGAAAAGTCTTTCGAAATGTGAGGAGTCGTCACCAATAATTTAAGGTGCAATTGAGACACCATAAAATCGGGTGATTTTAATAAAACATTTTATTTTAATCAAAATACCAAGTTTTGAGGTCTGCAAAAATCCAGAAATCAGGTTCGGGGGTCGATTAGGCGTAGGGAAGGATTAGCACACCCACAAGAGCCCAAAAGTTGGTACCTAGTTAATTACCCTATATTTAAAATTGGAAATTTTGAGTTCGATCTTTGTTTAATTTTAAAATCATTACTGATGCAAAGTTAAAAATGATATTCGTTTATTGAGACCGATAGCATTCGTTCCCAAGCGTAAATGCGGGAGATCAACTATTGTACCTAATAATCGAACATTGCCTTAATTTTAGAAAATCTTGATGCGGTCTTTAAAAAGGATGTCGACCTATTTCAGGAACCACTAGTAGTCGCCCCTTGAGCATACTTGCGGGAGATAAACCATTAATTTCCGAATAAGTGAACATTGCCTTAGATTTTAAAATAAAAAGCAATCAGACAAAATTTTATTTATCCTAATTATGCTAAGGTAAATTAAACGCTCTTTCTAGCTTAAGGTGTCAAATTATGAAAGTTAAGGATCCTAGGGGACTAAACCTAAAACGTAGACTCTAATATTAATCCTATTTGGTTTTAAATCAATTATTGAATCGAATAATCGAGATGATCCTTTGAGAATTTAGGCGAGAGCCAACTCGAATTATTCCCTAAATTAAAGAGACTAAATCAAAATCTAGCTAAAAATGAAGGCTCTATTTAACCTATTTAATTATGTCAAACTTATGGATCTAATCGAAATTCTGGGACTAAAAGGTCAAATGACTAAAATACCGGTCTCCAAGGACCTAAATCAATAATTTCTAAAGTTGAGGACTAATTTAAAACCTAAGTTTTATCTGAATCATTAAACCTAAAGTATTTTAAAAAAAATTAATTATTAATAAATTTAAAATTCTAGCAATCGATTCGAGTAATCGGGCATCTTATGCGAAAATTCGACTCGAATTGCTCTCTAATTAAAACTAATTTGAAATCCTAATTTCTAAGCTTGATTCGAATATTAATCTAATTTAAAATTAAATCTAGAATTTAAACTATAAAACAAAATAATTAATAATAAACTTAATTAAAATAATTAAAACAATAAATTAAAAAAGGGTAAAAATAACATAAAATAAGCATAAAATAAGGACCTAATTGCATAAAATAAAATAACAGTGACTAAAATGCAAGAAAATAAAAATTAGTAGTTAAATAAGAAATAAATAGTGACAAAAATGCAAAAAATTAAAATAACATTAGCTAAATCAGAAACTAACCGTGACTAAATTAAAAATAAAATAAAACAGAATGATAAAATCGCAATAAATTAGAAACGAAAGGTCCAGTGACCAAAATGTAAAAACACAATAAAGTTTGGGGGACTGAAAATGATAATAATAATAATAATAATAATAATAATAATAATAATAATAATAATCTTTTTGTAGACCCGAACAAAAGATGGGTGCTAACTCAAAATATTGTGAAAAATGTAATATTTTCGGTTACCAAAAAAAAATATTAAGAAGAATGTATGCAAACCGAAAAATATTAAGAAAAAACTAACATTTTAGGTTGTGCTATTTCTCTTTCGTTCTTTAATCTTAACCTTAAATTAAATTATCGCTTAAACAATTTAACATATTAGCTTCTCTCTCTCTTTTTTTTTTCTTTTTCATTCCTGTTTGTTGATGGATTATGTTTTTATTAAGTAATGGAAGAAGAATAGGTATTTCTAATCTATTAGCAGCAATTGATGCTTTAATTATATCTTAATCCAGTGACGAAGTATTCAAATTTTCTTTTGAACATTTAAAAAAATGATAGTTTCTTTAAAATAAAAATGAATATATGAATAAATTATTGAAAATAATATCAACAAATCAAATAAAATATCATCATAAATCATGATCCCACCTCAAACAGTAAAAATTAACAAATTACAATTTCATAGGCATTCCGTGAACTAAAATGAAGTGCGAATTAGGTAATACTAAAACAAACCCCGTTACGAGAAGGTTGTTTGGCTAGGGTTGTTCAACCAATCATATCATTCCATAAACAAATAATTGGTGACATAATCCAGAATTAGCAAGATATGAAGCTCCTGCTGTAACAGTTCACTAAAGACCAAAAGCAACACAATTTCAACGCTCTGTAAGTGGTCCTAAGAACTTAAAATAAAGTATCCAATTCAGATGGAGGGTATCCTCGTGTGTTTGTTATCCGAAAAAATGAAGGCAGGTGATGGTGTTTTGTTTCTAGTCAGTGGATTACTTTTAGCGGTCACATCCGAATAGTGATGGTCTAAGGGGATCGGAGAGATGAGTGTTGCTGCCTGCCATGGCTGACGACATATCTTTTTACAGACATTGTTAATTTAGGTTATTTGAAACCGGTAGGCGGTCTTTATCAAGTTGATAAAAGAGTTATTTATGAGATCGCCCATGTGTTGTTTCTCGACAATTTGTAAAGGGGAGTAGTACACGATAAGATTTTGTTGTTCAACTTTGCTTTTTTTATTATCATGTGCGTTTCCTCTATGACCCTATAAACCAAAACAAAATAATTCCCCAGGCGACTCAAAGGGCCAAGCTTATATATTAAATTTGTGGTGTGTCAAATTTTCTCTAATAATAGAAATGATTCCGAGACAGTCTTATTAAATAGGATTTTTTTATTACAATATGTATTGATCTGTTGAGGAAGATCGTGGTCAGGGCCGGTCCAATGAGTTTTAATATCCCGTCCAATGAGTTTTAATATCCCGTGCGAGATAATAATTTTATGTCCCTATACTTGTACCGTATAATAGATAAAACATAAATAATTTTTTTAAAACAAAAATGTAATAGAAATTATAGTCAAACAATATCAATACTAATACAAACCAAAACCTACAAGGCTACAAATATAACCTAAAACAATGTCTTCGTACATTTTTTGAAGCAAAAACCTCTATTATTTTACGATAATCAAGACTTTATGAAAATTGACTTTCGATGCTTAGACATGTTTTTCTTTTTACCATTGCTAGCACCGAATCGAGTGGTATTTTGATGTGCTTGTAGTGCGTAAAATTGGTTAGCTAATATGGCGAAAAAAATCCTATCATATATGAGTGTTGAGTAAATTATTCTTTTATCTAGTGTTAATGTTATAGTACATGTCAGAAGATATCCGGAGAATGTGACAATTTTCAGAAGACGTGCTGATCATCAACTACTTTAGTAATCAATGACGGATGCAAGGTTTCTTTAAGATGAGCGCGTGTCCATTCTAAAATTTGAGTTTTTTTATGTTAGTTGTTTATTTTACTGATGGTGCGCTAATATTTTATTGGTATTCTCCCCATACAATTTTTTATTATTAATATATATGTATCTACCCTCAAAAATATTTTTAGATTCGCCATGTTTGGAAGACTGTAATGTTATTAGCTTACGGGCATACATTCAACTTGAAAAAAGTCGTCGTGTAATCTAGATGTCTTCCCAAAGTCACCTTATCATTCAAGCATCTTATATGTACTAGAACATTTAGACTACTTGAAAAAAAAGAATCTCCTAACACTTTATAAGGGAGATTTTTTTTTCAAAATAATATTTGGACAATTTTTCCGTGTGACATAAAATCAAATTTATTGGTGAATGAACATGAGGATCCCACATCTATTAATAATATGAGCTAAAAGCTAAAAATATTAAAATTGGTAAATATTGTACGTAAGGCTTGAAAGCAATGTTAGAGATATATGTTGACAAACACATTGGATATTTCGTGAACGTGGAGCCTTAATCATCTAAATACTTTGCCTACTTCTATACCACAAGTTGAATGTAGCTTTTTTCCTGTTGCATGTAGACAAAAGATGAACCATATTATGTAAAACAAGAAACAGCCTTTCAAAAGCCCATAGATTACTGATGTGTCCCTACATGTTGCCCTGGGCCGTCGCCCATCTAGCACATGTATTGGGTCGGCTCTGATCGTGGTGTGTGTTTTAGGTTGCAAGCAGTCAAGAAAAATTGAGTAGGATTGATGTGATGCAGGCTGAGCTATCTGTGCC